GGTGAATGTGCTGACTTTCCTAGCATGAGTTAACTTCGGCCTGTAGCTTTAACAAGGGGTATCTACATAAAACTGGCCTTAAACTAACTTAGTCTACATATGCTTCTAATGCTAATTTGGTTTATACTAACTTAATCTATATGTTAATTTTGACTAAAAAAACAGACAGGTGGGGGAGTCTTAAACTTCCTGGTCCTCTTGTCAGTCTTAGGGAACCACATTCCTACAACATCACTAATTGGCTTTATTGCAATGGTTGGGGGTGATGTTTTACCCTTACAAGGTACTGTAATAACAGTAAAACTCATGGCAGAGAAATTGAATACCAGCAAGTACAAGGAAACAAGGGAGGGCTCGTAAACTGGGCCCTGCCTCAGTTTCTTCCCAGTCCAGGCCCTGCCTTAGAATGGGAGGCAGCATCCTTACCAGCTTGTGTTGCCTGCATGGTCCCGTCAGCCATCTGACATTGAAAGTGGGCCACTCGGATGTACAGAACATCTGTCAGAGACCCTTTGTAATCTCTATAGATAGGTCGTGACCTCTTCCCTTTACTTCAGTCCAATGTCTAAGAGTCAAATTCAGAGGAACCACTACAGTCTGTCCCATCGTCAATGAATAGGTTAAAAACACAGACAAAAGAACAAAGAACAGGGCAAGAGAAACAAAAAGCAACTTACCGACCTAGGTCTTCCACAAACTCAGAACAGATTCTGATGGGCATTGGCTGTGAAGGCCTCTGTGCCCTTACCACAGGAGACTATCAGGCGTCCCTGATCCTCCCTCACCCTTGGGGCATCCCCCAGGGCTGCAGCCTGTGGTCCTCCAGGCATGTCTGCTGACCACAGTCCAGCTATTTTACAATAGTCCGAACAGCTGCGATACCTGATACAGACAGGGACCCTGATACAGACTTTTACATGAAGACAGACGAGAGAACAATAGACAGATAAAGGCTTACCTCCAAGGCCGACGTTGTAGGAGTGGGGTGACCGTCACATCCCGGACGAGCCCCCAAATGAAAGGTTTTTGCCAATAACCGGCCAATCCTCCTTGTCCAGGGAGTGCTACAGCAACCCCAATCAACCACAAAAGCCGGTTCTTGATGCAAAGTGCAAGAGGCTTTATTTCTAGCGCACTAGGACTTCACTCTCGGTCATACAAGACACAATGGTGAATGAAGCCCCGAACAAAGGGGCATTCAGGTTACATAGACAGAAGTCCATGGAAATAATGAGGAAGTAAGATAAGGGGCTTTCTGCAAGGTGCTAAGCTAACTTGCAAATTGTTCCGGGCTTTTACAACTTCAGCAGTTTATAATGAGAGCGGCATCAGCTTTAGTACAGAAGCAAAAAAGGCAAAGGTTAAACTTAATGTTTACATAACAGGATAGGTACAGTTTCATTTTATTCTTACGGTAACATTCATGATCTGCAATTCTTAGGAAAAGGAAACAAAACCCTACCTGCCTTGGTGAGTCGTTCTCATTCTGGCTTTGCTTGGCAAGAAATCGCAGCAGGCTCCTTCACGTCCAGTCTCACTCTCCTCCCTCTCCACCCTTTAAATATCCTTCTTGCTTTCTTTTTCTACCTTTTCTTTATCTTCCTTTCTTCTTTAAGTACGTCTAAGTCCTGTCCAAGTCTCCTGAGAAGTTTGAAAGAGAAAATGCTCTCTTGCACCCACACTGTGGGGGGATAACTGGGGGTGGGAGGAGTTGCTTCATAGACAGAGGAGTTTCCTGGCCCTCTGAGAAGGAGCACGGGCCTGTGCCTGTGAGAGGTCAGGCCCCGCCAGTCTCTGTGGCCACCCGGTCCTGCTTTCCCTTAGTTAGGGTGGACGTTCCCCCGGAGGCTCGACCAGCAAGTTCCACTGCTTCTCCCAGGTGACTTTGCTGCTCCCTGACCCATCTCACTGTGTGTTCTGACCTTGTTTTCTCCATTCCCAGTGCTGCAGGTCCCTCGTGGCAGCCCTGACCGCTGCAGGCTATCAACTGCTACCAGAGTTCTCCTCTGCTCTCTCTGTGTTGACCTTCATGCCCACATACCTGTTAGTTCTCAAATTTGCATTTTTCCATTTCTGGGAACACTGTATTCATGACAAATATCAAATTCCATAAATCAATTAGTACTGGTAGAAATTCTGCTGGCAGTTAGACTAAATAAACTGCAGCTAAATAAGCGTCCAGCCATGAAGCTTAGCGGAAGCTCTGAACATTGCTTTTCTATCACCGTATGCCTGCATCACTTAAGATGATCACACCTCACCCATTTTAACCAGACAATCCCTTCATCAAGCAGGTGATACCTAGCATAAACTTGTATATATCTAATTCTGGAGGAATTTCCTTTTATGTCTTTTTTTTCCCTAAAGTGAGTATGGTAAAGAGTCAGAAAGACTGAATCACTTAGAATATTACACTCTCTGTCTTGCTGGGATGTTGCAAGGATTCGAGAACATAAATGTATACATGTATGTATGTGTGTGTACATATGTGTACATATGTATACATATGTACATATATATTTAAGACTCACAAGTTTATTGAATTTTTTTGACAAGTTTTTGCTATAGGGTTTGTGCACTCGCCAGACAGACAGAGAGAGACAGAGAGACAGAAAGTGAGAAATCATCCCCCAGAGGGGATGGCCACACCGCAATCCCTTTTCCTCCATTCTCCTCTTGGGATCTTAGGCACACACGCACACGCACCCGGCATGAGTTTTAAGCCACTGGGTCCGGGATGTGAACCATGGTCGACTACATGGGAGTCCAGCAACATAGCCATTACGCTAACTGCTGGTCCCATAAGTTTATTGAATTTTCTAAAGCTGCAATTCAGATAATATAATTTTATCTTCTTGCATTTTGCAAAGGACTTTTTTTTTTGATGCTGCACAAACTATAGTGCAAAGACTAGACTGTGCGTACTTTACTCAGAAAGTAGTCCCTTCCGGGACCAGCAGTTAGAGTAATGGCTATGTCACTGGAGTCCCATGTGGTCAATCGCAGTTCGCATCCCGGACCCAGTGGCTTAAAACTCACGCCGGACACGTGTGCGTGCATGCCCAAGACCCTGAGAGGAGAATGGAGGAGAAGGGATTGTGGTGTGGCCATTCCCCCTGGAAAGCGATTTCTCGCTTTCTGTCTCTCTGACTCTCTCTGTCTGTCTGGTGAGTGCACGTGCCCTATAGCAAAAACCTCTCAAAAAAAAAAGTAGTCCCTTACTGGAACTTTATCCCTCTAAGGATAGACAGCACACACCCAGTTCTGCCCTGGTCTCTGGTATTTTCTGTCTCCAAGAGGGGGAAAGGCCATTCCTCTCTTCAGGCCTTTTGTAGACCATTCTTTCTGCGGTGGATACATTTGGTGGCCCAGGGCTCTTCTGACTAGCTTTTGCTTGCCACAGCTTTCTGCAAAAGCTCCACTTTCACCTTCAGAATCTCAAATACCCAGGTCCTGCTTGGAGCGTAGCCACTTCCTGTGTCATATCTCCTCGACTCCAAACTCCCATAAGGTTTCCTTTAGTCAGGAGGTCCAGCTTGCCAGGGAGAGAATATTAGGAAGAGCCCAGAGGGTGTGGCCTTCAAGGAGATAGACCCAGTGTGTCCAAAGGTTACTCTTCATTTCTGGGAACATTCCCGAAATAATTCTCTGAGTCCTGTAGCTTCGAGGTTCCAAGCAGTAATCTGAGGGTGGGTGCTTCTGTGAGTTAATTGACAACTGAGGTTTTGAACTGAGCACTGAGACTCCACTAACTTGTTCTGTTTTCTTTCCCTTGTCTCATAGAATCACAAGAGACACCTCTACCATCTTGCAAAGCAAAGGTTAATGGAGGCACCAAAGGAAGCTGGTACCTCCATTCCTTTTGAAAGCTCTAGAGCTGGGGTTCACAACTGCTTTCTGCACAGGGCCCGAGACTGCCTATTCCAGTCTTTGTAGACCATGCAGTCTGCTGCAACTACTCAGCTCTGCTGTTATGTCAGGAAAATGCCAGTGAATATGTCAATGAGCAGGCATGGTGTTTCAATAAAAACTTTCTGGACACAAATTCAAGTTGCATATCCTTTCACATGTTATGAAATATTATTTTTATATTTTTCCCAACCATTTGAAAATGTAAAACCATTCTTAGTTTGCAGGTCATACAAAACTAGGCATGGTCAGGTGTGGCTACAGGTTTACTCTGGCTTGAGAGAAACTATCTATTCAAGAGCGTCATTGTTCAGAGTGTTGTGGGTCTTCAGTGAGGTGAGATTACTAACAACTGCAGAGTATTTAGTACTGCATTTTTAAGGAATGTAATAGGAAAGAGAATTTCCAAATGAACATGTCTTTTGCAAATAAAATTTACCCTCCTGTTGGTTCTTCCTCTAGTGGATGAAGTTACTCATCCTCAGAAATGGAAAGAAGAGGCGGAATCACCTACTCTCCAAATAGTTGGAGACTTGTAGGAGACACACTCGCTCGCCAGTCTATCAAGTTCGCATTTCCATTTCTTACCTTCTGGTTTACAGAGATCATAAATTCCACACAGCTACAATAATGACCAAAATTGAAATGAAGTGAAGGTTTGCTAAGTCCCATAAAATAAGGGCAAATAAGTCCTGAGCTAACAGAAGGCATTCACGAGTCCTACTGTTCTATACCTTGCCCTCAAGATCAGTTCAAACAAAGAAAGCTGCTTGAATCTTGCCTTGTGAGAGATCATTAATTTCCCAAATGCATATTAATACTAAGATATGTGTGACTTAATAGAAGGGCAAAGTTAACTTTATTGCTAGTATTTTTGTTGAAGATTTTTGCATTTTTGCTCATCAGGGACATTGACCTTTAATTTCCTTCCCTTGTAGTGTTCTTTTTTGTTTATTTTTATTTTTTTAGAGAGGTTTTTGCTATAGAGCACGTGTGCTTGCCAGAGAGACAGAGAGAGACCAAGAGACAGAAAACAAGAACTCACCCCTGAGGGGGGATGACCATGCTACCATCCCTTCTCCTCCATTCTTCTCTTGGGATTTTGAGCACACGTACACACACACGCGCACACACATGCCTGGTGTGAGTTTCAAGCCACTGGGTTCAGGACTTGAACTCAACTACGTAGGAGTCCAGTGATGTAACCACTATGCCATCTGCTGGTCCTGCTGATAGTGTTTTGCTTAAAGTTTATTTCTTTATTGGGTTGAGTGAGGCACTGGCAGGGTATTGTCATGTCACACTCTTCCTTTGAGCCCTCTGGTCAGCTAGGATCATAGGTGTGTCTGTGGCCATTTCTGGCATGTGTGCTCAGGTTGGCCCAGGATTTGAACCTACATGATCCTATCTTTGTGCAGTGACATCCTGCTGTTTGCCTCGCCATAGCTGGGCCTTTCTTATAATGTCTTATAGGCTATTGGTAACAGGGTAATCCTGGCCTTGTAAAATGAGCTAGAAGTGTTCTTCCTTTTTAATTTTTTGTAAGAGTTTGAGAAGGATTAGTTTTCAGTTCTTTAAATGCTTGGTAGAATTCACATGTGAAGCCATCAGTTCCTTGGTCTTTCTTTGTTGAAAAGTTTGCATTTTTCATGCAATTTCCTTACTTGTTAATTGGTTTGTTTAAATGCATATTTCTTCACATTTCTGTCTTAACACGTTGCATGTTTCTAGGAATTTATTTTATTTTTTTCTCAGGTTTCTAATTTGTTAGCACATAATTGTCTGTAATAATCTCATAATCCTTTGCAGTTCTGTGGTATTAGTTGTAATGTCTCCTCTTTCATTTTTAGTTTTATTTATTGGAGTTCTTTCTCCTTTTTTCTTGGTTAGTATAGCTGAAGGTTTGTCAATTTTGTTTTTCTTTCCAAAAATCAATGTTTAATTTCATTGACCTTTCAATTGTCTTTCATTTATTTCTGCTCTGATCTATGTTATTTTGAAATATAAAATTTGGTTGTTTGAGATTTTTTTATTTTCTTAATATTAGCACTCATCGCTATAAAACTCCCTCTTAGAACTACTTTGGCTGCATCCCATAAATTTTGATATTTTGAGTTTACATTTTCATTTGACTTAAAATACGTTTTTATTTCTCTTTTGAATTTTTTGACCACTGATTCTTCAGAAGCGTGTTGTTCAATTTCCACATTTGCATAGATTTAATAAAATTTCTTCTGTTATTGAATTCTAGTTTTATAAAATTTGATTGGATGAAACACTTGTCATGATTTTAATCTTAAATTTCTTAATATTTGTTTTGTGGTTAATGTGTGGTCTCTCCTAGAAAGCGTTTCTTGTGTTTTGAATGGAATGCGTATTTTGCTGCCATGGGAAGGAAAGTCCACATATCTGCTCTGCCTATGTGCTCTGCAGTGTTATTGTCATGTAGGTAACATAGTTTAGCATGTTTCTTTATTGAATTTCTGTCTGGATTAAATCAATCCATTGTTGAAAGTGAGATATTAAAATATCCTCCTTCTAAGGCCAACAGATGGCATAGAGGTTACATCGCTGAACTCCCACATGGCTTGCTGCAGTTCAAGTCCCAGACCTGGTGGCTTGAAACTCATGCCAGGCACATTTGTGTGCATGCCCAAATTGCTAAGAGGAGAATGGAGAAGGAATTGTGGCATGGCCTTCCTCCCTGGAGGGCAATTTCTCACTTTCTGTCTCTCTGTCTTTCTCTACCTCTCTAGTGAGTGCACATGCCCTATAGCAAAACTCTTTGTCAAAGAAAAATCTTTTTATTGTATTGCTGTATTTTTGTTCGGTTCTATTAATATTTACTTCATATATTTAGGTGCTCTGATATTCAATTAACATACTTCTTAAGAGTGAAAACTGGAACCAGCAGATGGCATAATGGTTATGTCACTGGACTCTCAGTTAGTTGACAGAATTTGAGTCCCAGACCTGGCAGCTCAAAACTCACACCAAGTGCATGTGCATATGTGCACAAAACCCTGAGAGGAGACTAAAGGAGAAGGGATTGCAGCATGGTCAACCCCCACCCCCCAGGGATGATTTCTCACTTTCTGTCTCTCTGGTGAAAGCATATGCCCTATAGCAAAATCTCTCTCAAAAAAAAAGAAGAGTAGAAAATTTTTTCTTCATTTTTTTTAATTTATTTATTTTACATTCACTGACTAGTTTTCCCAAAAATATTATTTAATTTTATTTATAATTACTATTACTATCACTACTATTATTATTATTTAATTCACCAGAGAGAGATGAAGAGAGAGAGGTGGGGGGGAGTAAGAAAGCAAGCTTCCAGGTCTGGTATTCTAACCATGGTCAGCCATGGGAAGTCCATCACCCCAACCACTGCCATTCACTGATATCCAGCCATTAGATCTTTTCATTTTTTGTTTATTTTATTTTTTAGAGAGATTTTTGCTATAGGGCACATATGTTTGCCAGAGAGAGAGAGAGACAAAGAGACAGCAAGAAATCATCCCCAGGGGGCATAGCCATGCCACAGTGTGTTCTCCTCCATTTTCCTCTTAGGATCTTGGCACGCACACACACGCACCTGGTGTGTTTTCTTGTTTTTTATTTTTCTTTTTTGTGGAGAGGGATTTTTTTTTTTTTTTTGCTATAGAGCGCATGCGCTCACCAGAAAGACAGAGACAGAGAGATAGAAAGTGAGAAATCACCCGCCGGGGGAGGGGTGGCCATGCTGCAATCCCTTCTCCTCCATTCTCCTCTCAGGATCTTGGCATGCATGCACACGCACCTGGCATGAGTTTAAACCACTAGGTCCAGAACTTGAACCGTGGTCGGCTACATGGGAGTTCAGTGACATAGCCATTATGGTAATTGCTGGTCCCACACCTGGTGTGTTTTAAGCCACAAGGTCTGGGACTTGAATCATAGTCAGCTAAGTGGGAGTTGTGATGTAGCCATTCAGCCATCTACCGGTTCGCCCCCTCCACTGCAGCAATTAGTTTGTTTGTTTGTTTGTTTGTTTGTTTGTTTTGTTGAGAGATTTTTGCTGTAGGGCGCATGCACTTGCCAGACAGATAGAGAGAGACAGAGAGACAGAAAGTGAGAAATCACCCCCCAGGGGGGATGGCCATGCCACAATCCCTTCTCCTCCATTCTCCTCCCAGGATCTTGGGCACACACGCACACACACCTGGTGTGAGTTTTAAGCCACTGGGTCTGGGATGCGAACCACAGTCGACTACATGGGAGTCCAGCGACATAGCCATCACGCTAACTGCTGGTCCCTGTAGCAATTAGTTTTTGTTTTGTTTTGTTTTGTTTTGTTTATTTTTTAATTTTAATTTTTATTATCATCATAATCTTCTTTATGTTACATTGGATTACATATAATTTTTATCATCATAATCTTCTTTATATTACATTGGATTACATATAACTTTACATTGTATTACATTGTTTTTTCAAAAGGGAATGCCATGCATGTCAGTCAGTACAGAGACATTAATCTCCCCACTTCAACATTCAATATCTTTTCTGTTTTCCCCAATCATTATTTTTATTATTCTAATTATTTTTATAAAACAGTCAATTGTTATTTCTCGTTTTGCTTGTAAAAATACTTTGCCCATCATGAAATACTTCTCAGACCAATCCAGTTGAGAATACTATACATGTCATCATCAACAGTTAATAACCCCTATCTGTTTCTCACTAACGTCCTGTCTCTCTATTGTTCACTTGCTATCTTTCTCTATCCTCTTCTCTTCACTTACCCCATTCCACACTGTCCTATTCTCATTAAGTACCTTCACTGTGTTTATGTCCTCCGAATTTTTGCTCTCTATTATAGAGTGCGGATAGTCGGTATATATTGAGTGGATACATACAATATCTTTCTTTCATAGCCTGGCTTACTTCACTCAGCAATAGATCCTCCATATCTGACCATTTTCTATCAAATTCCAGGGTCTTGTTATTTTTTATGGCTGAGTAGTATTCCATAGAGTATATATACCACACTTTTCCAATCCATTCATCAGTTTGTGGACATTTAGGTTGGTTCCATGTCTTGGCAATTGTGAATAATGCTGCAATAAACATGGATGTGCAAGCACTTTTCTGACTGAGCGTTCTCCTGTCTTTTGGGTAAATACCCAGAAGTGGGATTGCTGGATCAAATGGTAGTTCTATTTGTAGATCTTTGAGGAACCTCCATATTGTTCTCCACAGTGGTTGAACTAGTTTACATTCCCACCAACAGTGTAGGAGGGTTCCCTTTTCACCACATCCCCGCCAACACTTATCACTTTTTATATTCTTAATCTTTGCCATTCTGACAGGGGTTAGGTGGTATCTCATTGTGGTTTTTATCTGCATTTCCCTTATGATGAGGGATGTCGAGCATTTCCTCATATGCTTTTTGGCTGTTCGTATGTCTTCCTTAGAGAGACTTTTGTTCAGCTCACTTTCCCATCTTTTAATCGGGTTAATCATTTTTTTTCGCATAAGGCACTTGAGTTCCCTATGT